CTTTGTTTTTTAAACCCATAAAAGCCTGTAGGAAAACACCCTTGGAATTCATAAACAATCCTGTATTTTCAAACAAGGCAGAATTTTAATAGAACGATATAAGAAAACTCTGTTTATCTTACATCCTACATTGATATAACTTGTTTGGAGCCAGTAAGACCTCTGAAATTTGCAGATACACAGTTCTTGACAAATTGTATTGTCAACCATTCTGTTTTCAGTCTCCAGACAGTGCAAGTAGTGGGTGTTATCAAGCTGTACTGTAGTGCTGTAATTAGCTGTATGTTTTCTCCTTTGGGAGAAAAAGCAAAAACAGGGGAGCCAAGAACCTTGGACTGTACTTAAACCTTATGTGAGGCAAGCAGACTGTATCTTATAATTTACAGGGGATGTTTTATAAATCAGTGGTTCTGGTAGTCTAGTTCAGTTTGATAGATGGTTGCTGGCTTAGTATTAATTTAATCATTCTGGGCCTGATATATTTATTAAAAAGGTGATTCAGGATTTCAGGTAAGGATTAAAATGACCTTATTAAAATTCAGATGCAGTTGGCTAGTTTTGAGAATAAAAATTGTCATTTTTTTCTTGGTAATTGCTTGTTCTTATCACAGAACTGATTGCCCTGCAAAAATGCAGCAAGCGAAAAAGAGGTGTCATGTGCCACGCTGAAAATCATGTAGTGACACTGCATCATGGCTAGACTCCTGGGAGTTTGTCAGCAGATTGATGAAAATCAGGAACTTAGCATGCGTTAAAGTTGCTGTAGTACACTGGCTAGAGCATTAACTTAGTTCTGAGAGGTGAGTTACAGGCTACAGAGTTTGTATTAATACTCAGTTATTAATTAGGTCATATCCTTCCTTTGACATACAGCAACAGTCTGGCTCTACCAAGGCCAGTGTAAGTTTTCTGTAGAAAGTAGTAAGTAGCAGCATGAAGGCTTTGAAAGCCCTCTAGGAATTGAGGCACATTCTTTTTATTAATTTCCATCGACAGCTGTGTAGCCAAATGCTGTAGTAATCTTTGAAAATTTCATCCGAAGTATTTGGTTTTGTGATTGCTGAAGTCCCAGCTGTGCACAGTGAAGATATGAGTCATTCCCTAGCGATGCTTGACAGTTCCACTGTCTGATGGCCTCGGGCCATTGGTTTGCACTAATGATGGTCTGTGAAGGTAAATAGTCCCCCTCCTCCTACTTAAAGGAGGGTTTATACCTTCTAAAGCATGAGATGGTATTTGCAGAGACTCAGCTGACATAAATGAGTTCTTCCTGCTGGTCTCTATCGTGTCCAGTTGTGCTGGGGTGAGGGAAGTGCCTGCTTATTCTAATCCAGAGCTGCCTATTCCTGGGAATAAACTGTTACCAATTTGAATATGAGAACAGATATTCTGTATGTGGTGAAATAACATAACTGCTATGCACCCATACATAATCAAACACATTGATTTTAATGTACACTTGTATCTATTGAACTGTGTAACTCTCTACATTACAGTTTAAGATTTTCAGGAGCAGGTTCTGTCCTCTAATGTTTTTAGAGATCAAAAAGCTTTGGATAGATTGTTGAGAGGAAAGGAGACTTGAGAAAACAAAATAAACCAGAGTAGTCTTCAGAAGATCATTCAGAAAGTCTCTTGTCTCTGTCCTGTCAGAATAGGAGAGCACTCGATGATTTTGAATGTCACAGACAAGTTTCAGAACTGGTAAATGGGAATGGCTCTTGTATGAGGCCTGGGCAGCACGCCTGTGAAACTCATTGCTGCAGAAGGCTAATAAGGCCAACTATTGCAAACTTAAAGAAGAAATTGGATACTAGCAGCGTTATTACTGATATCCAGAATTATAATTATTAATGCTATCAAAGTTTGAAAGAGACTGTGTTTTGAGCTTTGGGGCACAGGGTAGTCTCTGTCTGACAGATATCAAGATGAGACTTGTGGAAAGATGATGTCATGTCTACCTTGCGTGGGCTCTGATGCTCCAGTCTAAACTTACTATGCTGGCAATCTACAAAAGTATTTGAACCTGCTGTCTGATTGCTTGTATCAATTACTGTATACAAACTCTTTTAAAATGTACATCCATATCAACAGAAGCGATAGTCATCTAGAACACTGTATTTAACCAAGAGTAAATGCAGCATGGTTGGATATCTGTAATTGTGTAGGTGTCAAAATGGTACTGACTTGTATAAAAGGGTTCACACTACACTAAGCATACATACAGAGCATATGTGTCTGTTAGAATGTATTGTGGTTTTTAAATGCAGTTATTTTCCAGTGCAGGTTTTGCTGCTTAGTCTCATTGCTTTATTGGTAAGTCCATTGTATCACATTTTCTAGATACAATTATGCTACTGTCTACTTTTTCCAAACAGAGCCATGGTTCAACTAGTGTGTTTTCTGCTGTAGACCAGTCTGGGTGCCACTGGAAATAAAAGCCAAAATGACCTTGCAGTTAAAGTTCTCACACTCAGGATATCCAACCAGAAAAAATGAAACCCAAGGCAATTATTTTATGTGTTTCCCACCCACCTCTTGTGACTGGGAAAGGGAGTAAGAGAAAACACACACAAAAATGTGATTTCCATTCTATTCTATTCTATTCTATTCTATTCTATTCTATTCTATTCTATTCTATTCTATTCTATTCATTTGTTTTTGAGGTTGTCTGCCAGATCTTGCAACTGATTTTTAATGTAACTTTAGGAATCTGTAGAATAATAAGCACTATTACTGTATAAACTTCTGTCAGGATAAAAGCATGATGTAGCTGTTTCTCTCAGAGATATAACACCAACATGACCTGTGCAGACTTTTGCAAATAAACAGAACTGGATATAATTCTGGGTGGGAACCAGAACTGGTACCAGCGTAATTAAACTTCAGTTGCCTATCCTGTAAATAAACACACTGCAGGAAGAAGTTGTCTGTTGTTTAACAGCTATTAAAGGAAAGCTCTAAGGGACCAAAGTTGTTTTTTATTTTTGCTTACATGAGAGATTTCATGTGAAATGATGTGTTAGTAGGAACTGTGCAGACTTGCACAGTGAAACGCTAATCTATCATGTGGACTTTGTCCCAAGTGAAGAAGAAAGGAAGGCCAGGAAGAAGTGGGGAGCTTTAATCTCTTTGCACGTTCAGGTCTGGCAAGAATATTTGGAATGGTTTTCAGAGGTGGTGTGGAAGTGTAACTTTAGAAAGCAAATGATCTCATTACTTCTCTCCTTGTTCCCTAACCAGCATAATTAATATCCAAATGTTCTCTAAGATTAGTTTTATTTCCTGCCCAGCTAGTTGACAGACACTGTTGAGATTTGAATTCACAGCAGGCGAGAGCAGATGGCTACCTTCGCTAACAGATTACTGCATCAAGGCGTACAAACTGTCCAGCTCTGTCTCAATAAACTTCAACATATGATTTATAAAGTGAACATAATAGAAAAAATCCATGATGCCTGTAACAGGAATCATATTACAGCACTGCTTAAAGCACTGGGAGAATTGCCTAAGCAGTTATTTTATACTTGTGCTGATCTTCAAATCTTATTAGGCAAGAAAGCATTGTCTGGAAAATTATTTGTCTTCTCTTTGGTATTACTTACTTTCATTTAATTTTTATTGAACTAATTAAACTTAAAGGGGTATTTCCAATATATATAGCTTCTATTGAAGCTCCAGCAAACATATTAATGTGTTCACACTGATTTAACGGTTAATTATTTGTATGGGACTTTTTACATGAGCAAGAAGGTCTCTGCTAAATGTCTATACCTGCAAGTCCATAATGAAAGTACTATACTCTTCAATGAAAAATGAAACACAACAAAAAAACCCCACCATTGTTTCAGAAAAAGGAAAATCATTGCAAGATCATGCATACATATCTAACAGAGAAGATAAGCTTGATTATTTGAGATGATAAATTGCAAGTAAAACTTGCCTGAACAGTTGATAAGAGATACCTCATAAAGGAGGCCAAGGCTTTTTATGGAGTGTAGCAGCTCCAAATGATGGCACAGTATCTTTTAAGAAAGATACATATTTCTAGTGTGTTGCATAATTATTTGCTATGTAAATAAATATGGAATGTGAGGTCTTCTGTTCCTGAAGTCTATTGATATTTCTGGCATTATTTTTGAAGAGGGTCAGTCTGTAATTCCTTGTGTTTTTGTAAGCATTGAGTATATATTTACTGTTTGGGAACTCCCATTGCTTTGGGTGCTGAAGAATGAGATACAGAGTGATTTATAGCTCTGTGAGATGGAGGGAGAGTCCCGATTCTTGGCTTGTTTCCTGGTTGGTGGTACCATCTCACTACTTTTCTGCTTTCCCGAGGGCAACAGCTAAGCCTGGTGAGGTGCCTCGGACAGCAGCTCTGTGCGACTGCTATTGCAATTCCTCTCTCTTCTCTGGTTTGATCTGTTCAGTGCTCTTTCCCCCTCACTTTGTACTTTTTCCCTCGTCTCTCTGAGTTGTGTGTCTGTGTGAGGGGGAGGGCTGCAATCTCTTGTGTGATACTGGGGGCTAATGGGGTTTTCCTGTTAGTGTTGTAGAGAACAGTGGGAATACCACCATGTCAGTTCATGGAAAACAGAGGTTTCTTTGCAGCTGTTACAAAGAGACAGATTAAATTTCCTGTTTTAAAGAATAAGGGAAGGCTGGGGTTTTTTTCATTTTGAAGTTAAAAACTGAAGTTAGGATAACTTCTGTTTGCTCACTCCATTTCCCTATATAATTAGCTTAATGTATTTCCACATGCAGCGATGTTTTTTAGGATGTGAAGTGGAGGAGGTGGAGAAAAATGTTTTGTAGCAGCTTAAGGACTGTAGTTATATGTTTGAAAAGACGCTGTTTGTACTCCGTGACTGAATAGTAACTGACCATAGTGAATAGCTGTGTTTTTGCTTGCATTTATAGAGCTTGCTTAAAATCGAGTGGTGTCTGTTTCTATAAAATACAAATGCATGTGGTTTTTTTTTTATTTTTTTCCATTGTAGACTTGCCCTCAGCAAACTTAAGCAATTACAACATCACGGTGGTAGAAGGAAAGAGCATCACGTTGTACTGTGATACTACTGGTGGGCCACCCCCTAATGTGTCCTGGGTGCTCACTAATCTTGTTTCAAACCATGAGGTAAGTTTCATATTCAAATATGTTGCAATTCAGAGACAGGAGATCCCTGCTGAAGGGTGGAATGAAGGTTCATGTCCAGCCTTAGTCAATTTTTTATTAAAAAGATTAAATAGAAAGTTAATGTTGGGACTACATTTATTTTCCAGTTACTTTCAATCCACAGTGACTGCTGCAGTGCTTTTGGAGAATGGCAGACATTTGCTCCTTGAGACCCTGATTTGCACTCTGGTTTTGGATGTTCACATGTAAATGAGAGTACTGTAATTTTTTGGAAGTAATATGGTGAATCAGATACTGGAACAGAAGAGCTTTCGTATTATCGCTGATACCTGCATACAGAGAATAAATCTCATCTACCCTAATAATGAAAAAAGCTTTGTGTCTCCAGCTTGGTGTGCTGGAATTTGGTTGTAAATATTACTTTGTGGATTGTTTAATTTGTCCTTCAACAGAGCAACAACAGGAAACCTTGGAAATTGAAGTGAAAGTTTTACTGAAAAGAGTGGCAGGGTTTTGTCTTAATGAGCTATGAAGATGTTTCCTCAATAAAATCATCTAGGCAGGGGAAATTTTGTTTTCTGAGGTCTTTGTGTTCTGTGTCCTTACTTTAGACTGTGTTCACACTGGATATACGATGATTAAGTTCTTTCTGATGGAAATGTTGTTAAGGAGAGACATATAAGCAGGTCTCCAACATGCAGCTGCTGACCTCTTTAATTGCCATTATTTACACAGTGGGCAGGACCCTCTGTTATTTACAATTTTATGGCATTGGCTTTTCTACATTCATGATGGTGTAGACTGCTCAAAGCTTCCGGGTCTGTACAAAGTGTGAAATATGTACTTAAAAAACTGTTCATACAGTGCGGAAGAGACAGGACCTCTGGGATCTCATAATCTTTGTATTTTCTTCCTTGAGATCATTATATTGGGCATGTATAGAATTTGACAAGTCTGTCTTTCAGCTCTCGTAAGTAAGAGTTCTGGAGAGTTCTATTTTTATTTTTAAAATTTTCTCTAATCCGAAAAACTACCCAAAGGCATCAGTCATCATCAAGAACAAGAAATTAAAACAGTTTGGGGAACCTATGCCAAGTCTTGGCTTTTCTTTCTTTCTTCTCTTTCTTTCTTCTCTTCTTTCTTTTTCTATTTTTTTTGCTTTCTTTCTTTTTCTTTTTCTTCTTTTTCTTTTTCTTTTTCTTTTTCTTTTTCTTTTTCTTTTTCTTTTTCTTTTTCTTTTTCTTTTTCTTTTTCTTTTTCTTTTTCTTTTTCTTTTTCTTTTTCTCCTTTTTCTTTTCTTCTTTTTCGAGTTATGAGCCAAAAAAAATGTGGGATTGTGTTCAAGAAGTGATATCATCTCATTTTTTAACCCTCCTATCTTTGAAATGCCACGGTCAGTTTGCTTCAAGCTTTCCAGAAACATTCTGTCCTGGCTTAACGTTATTTTGAGATTTCAGAGGAGCTCATAATACAGGCTAGCTACAACCTTAGCCATGGAGCACAGTAGTCTTTTCACTAGCAGAAGAATGAATGTCTTTTAAACCTCATTTGCCATTCGCAGCTATCCTTCCTTTTTCTGTGAGTGTTGTTTTTGGTTTCCTTTCTCTCACTTCCATATCTCCGTTTCTGCCTCCCTTTTCTTCACCTCCTATGCTGCTTTAGCCTGTTTTGTCTCTTTCCTGTTTTACAGAGAGAGACACTGAAAATAGTTGGAACTAAACTCTAGTCCTGCAAACCTAACTGCATGCTCTCAGTTTCCATATTGATGTATAATCTTACTGGTGATGGTTAGAGTTCTTGCTTTAGATTTCAGCCTGGACCCTGCGATTGAGACCCTCTGCTTTCAGTCCAGCTTTGAGCACTGGTCACCTGAGAGCTGTGCAAAGAGAAACGTGTAATGGAGTGTTTGCTTTTCCACTCACCTCCCGTAGTGTCACACTGAAATCAAAGGGACATTTAACTTAAGTGGAATTAGGGTGGCATCTCAAGGTTCAAAATTCTCATCCCACAGGACAGTATGCAGGAGTGTTGCCGCATGTCCCCATTGACTGCCACTGAAAGTCACTGTGGTTTTACAGATGCAGTGCATTCTTTCTTTGTGTTCTGTGCAGCACTGAAGTGTATACGTACACTAAGAAAAGTATCTTGAAATTAGTTTTTTAAAATTTTCCTAATGTGTTTTTGTTCCTTTCCTTTTTAAGAAAAGTCTCACAATTAAAATAATTGAATAATTAATTGAAAAATTAAAGTATGGATATAGTCATTTGGAGGTCATATGAAGGACCTGATTTAAGAAAACAAGAGCCTTTAACAACTTGCTTGCTAGCATTTTGTGTGTATGTGTGTAATTCAGCCCTATTTGCTTTATTCAGTGTTGCATAGCTGCATATTCAACATGGCATTTGAGGCCGTAAATGGGCACTAAGCTTTCTAAGAACTGTAAGAATCAAAAATTCTAAGAATTGTCATTTTTACCTTAATTAGCATGTGCCTAAACACGTAAAACAGTACTTGGTCAGTAGCTTAGGTAGTAGAGGGTATGTAATTTCTTGTGGTAGGTTTCATGAGAAGAAGAAGCTTTCAAGAGAAATTTGGCTCAGGAGGAAGGACAAGACACAGTATTGTCAAGGCGCAGTAGAGCTTAGAAGGCAGCAGTGGAAGAGATGTCAAACGCAAGTGTAGAGGAAAGAGACAAAAGGAGGAGTAAAGCAAGCAATGAATAAAATATAGGAGGGAAGAAAAAGTTCAAGGGGAGCAGAGGTAGGCCATAGAAATTAGTCATGAAGTGGAAGAGAGGGATCAGCAAGTGTGCAGGTAGAGAAAAAAAAACATTTCTGTAGAGGGGAAGAAGTGTTTTAAAAAAGACAGAAACAGAAAGTGACAGGACAGAAATATGGTTGTGTGCAGTGTTTGTAGCAGGAGTTCTGAAGCTTTGAATCCACTGCCACTGACAATTGATTCTGTATGTGTTTTTAATCCATTTTGATAATACACGAAAGTAGGTCTGTGATCAGTTGTGGACTGATACAGTTAAAAGGAAGGGAAAATGAAAAGTGCCATTCAGTTGTGGCCAGTGATTCCCTGCCTCTCTCTTGTTCTTTATGCTGTGGTTGACACGTACGTGTTTTTCTGATCGCCTGTAGAGTGACACAAGTAAGAACCCTGCCTCGCTAACCATAAAGAACGTTTCATCCATGGACAGTGGACTGTGGATTTCCTGCGTAGCAGAGAACATTGTGGGAGAGGACCAAGCCTCTGCCGAGCTCACGGTATTCTGTACGTATGCAGGCCTCCATACAGCTCCTGAGGCCAAACTGCATTAGCAGCAACTGATTGGTCTGGGTATAATTTTTTTCGGGGCACACAGGTTGTTGAAAAAAAGCCCTTAAGGCATGTGAACTATCTATGGCGGTTCAGGCTGGGAGTAGCCCAGCCAGCAGTCATTGTATTTGTCTTTTTCGGTCCTGTGTTCTGCAAAAAATGCATTTCTAAATGCTTTATCTTCCAGTTAAAATGATCTGTAAGTAAAAGTCTGAAACCCAAGGTACTCAATAGCGCTGTCAGTGCGGGAAGGTTTGAAATGGTGTGCACATGCATACACACTGTCTTAGGAATTAAGAGGTGTGAACGCATCAAAAGGATCATAGAATTAACTGTAGGCAACTACCAACATTGAAGTTCTTATTATCTAAAGCAGGAACTGCTTTGTTAAAAAAATAACACACTTGCAACATTTGTACTGCCAGATGTAAATCTATTTGTCATAGTTTTGGATAATATGCTTATTTGTTGGAGCCAAGGAAGGGGGAAGGGACGTGCAGTGTAGAGGCACTGGCTTCTTAGATCTAAGGTTCCAGCCTGAATTCATTTTATGTGAACTAGACAGCATGTTTTCACAAGTTGCAACCCTCGGTTTAATTGAAGATGGGAATGGAACACTTTGTAGATGGCAAACTTTGTTCAGCATGTGCTCATGACAGAGTAAAGTAGAAAAATCACTGTAGATGTAGGTTTGTTGGTTGAAATTGGATATGTAATAGCTACAGGAAGGAACATAAACTAGAAATGTTTGAATAGTGTAAATGAGATTCTGAGCTTGGCACTTGTTATGAGTGATAAAAATGAGTGTAACTAGATGAAATTAGATGCAGTTAAGAATAAATATCAAGAAAAATTTCCCAATAGTGAAATAATGGGCAAGGTGTTGGAATAATCTCCTGAGGGAAACAGAACAAGTCTGTAAACTTGAGGCATTTAGCAGGTTTGAACAAAAAATGAGAAAATGTATAGTAGAAAGTTGTCTTTCCCTGACAGAAAAATCCAGGGAATTAAGTCATCTGTTCTGGCTTTGATTCTGTGAAGAAAATAATCTGAAAGTTTGGATTCCTAGCTGAATATATTTCCAGTACTACTTGCTTTTGGCTAACTTTTATATATTTTCAATACTGTTGTGTTCCTTCACCACTCCTCTGCACCATTTTTACAGCAGAGTAAAGCTAAAATGTTTCTTTCCTCCTTCTCAGTGATTCAGTAACTGAACTTCCCACACCTTGCAAGATTTAATTGAGTTAACAGGTGTTCAGTCTTTGTCTGAAACTAGTTTATTTTGTTTCTTTCTAAAGAATGGCTTCATTTCAGTTGTGAACACAGTACCCTAGGCAGAGCAGGTGGGCTCCTGTGTGAGTATCCTTCAAATAGGTATCATTTTTACTAGCGTGCTAGCTACTACTAGCATACTTTTGTACTGATGAGTGAAGAATATTTCCCTGATAACTTTGGGGGGAAGGAGGCAAAGGAGGAAAGACATATTTGTAATATTCTGATGTTCTTCACTCTTTTTTCCAATATAGTTGCACCAAATATCACGTTTATTGAATCTCCAACCCCGGACCACCACTGGTGTATTCCATTCACTGTGAAAGGGAACCCTAAGCCCACATTGCAGTGGTTCTATGAAGGGGCTATACTGAATGAGTCTGAATACATCTGTACTAAAATACATGTTATCAATCAAAGTGAATACCATGGCTGCCTTCAGCTGGACAATCCTACCCACCTGAATAATGGTGCTTATACCTTACTGGCAAAGAATGAGTATGGAGAGGATGAAAAACGGGTTGATGCTCATTTCATGTCAGTACCTGGAGATGGTAAGTATATATTTTTTTATGTTAGCAATTGCAAATTGATGAGACTGGGGACACAGTGCTCCTTACCAGTTTAATTATTTTGGAGGAAGCTTTAAATTATTTATTTTTTTTTCTTCCCCTCTGAATGAATGTTTTCAAGATTAGTTGTAAAATCATGCTTTTCATGAGCATTTTCTTCTTTATTGGTTTTTAAGGGAGGCCATGCTAATGCTCTATAAATCTTCCCTTTGAGTAAACATCCTCAGTGCCAGCTAAGGCTAGTAAAAGGTTGCTGTTTCTGAAGTGTTTTCTCAAGCCTGTGTTCTGATCCTGGAAAGCACTGAGTGCCAGTTCAGCCACTCTGTAAGTTTTCTGCACTGCCTATGAATGCAACTAGACAGTGTATCCAGACACAGAGGGATGCTTACGTAGCATCCAATGCCTTGTCGCAAAATCGGCAAGTGCAGTGCAGTGAGTTGATAATAATATGTTGTTCAGGACACCAGAGGGAGCTGGAGAGAAAACAAGTCACCCAGAGGCCGGGTGGACAAGGCCTCGCGTCTTCACAGGCATTTCAACCTCCGATTCCCTTTTGTTTCGGTGAACATTGGGCACCTTCGTGCCTGGGAATATCCGAGCTCACGATGGCTGCTGTAAAACGCACGCAACTTCAGTTGCTCTGAAAGCTTTGCCTCAGCCTTCCTCAACGCTACGTGGGCAGGCTCAAGGTGCACTAACTCACTGAGCTGCAGGGGCTATTGAAAGCGAATTATGTTCACTGTGGTTTGATCTTTTTCCTCGTCTTCAAAACCATATGGGAGGTGAGTGTAAGAGTAAGAAGGCATATATGTAAGCATATTGCTGTGTGTGGAAAAAACTCTTGAGTGGGCCTTGCACAGCTGGAGTGGAAACAAAGCATATTTTTGTGCAAATGATTGCACAGCCATATCTGAAAATATGAGCAAATATGTACCTTTGGCTTTTTAGCCATAGGATATAAATATCTGCCTTCTTTTTTTTTAAACAGCAATGTGCAGTGCTAATGTTATCTGGCAGAAAAAAAATATGTGAATATTTAAATTCTCTCTCCTACATTGCAGGCTTTAGACAGTAAAAACATGGTCTGTATTTATCATTTTTCCCTACCAGCTTAATCTCCCGTTGGGAGAGCAATGGCAGGTTTTTTGCTTTCCCACCCTTAGAAGGAAAAGGTGAAGAGCTGACACAACCAGGCTGTTTTTCAATCCTGCTGTCCTTAGTGCCCCTCTCCTCTTTTTTTCTCTGGAGTTCTTCCTTAAATAGATTCATTACAGAAACATGCCATGGTTTCAGCTACTGGTGTCCTCTAATACTGCATTATAATGGTTCAGTAAAACATTTCCCCTCATAGAAGTTCTGTGTACAATGGAAGTTCTCTTACACCCTCATTATTTAACATGAACTTGGCTTTGTTTTTTTAACACAGTAACAGTTCCTCTAATACATTAGGGCAAATTTATAATTTTTTGTCTTTGATCCAAATGCCTTTTACAGTTCTTTTTTTCCTTTATGTTTCTCCCCTGTACACTGAAGATTTCACAGTTGTGGCCTTTTAAATCAGTAAATAGAACTGTAGGTTTCCTCCAAATTAGAAAGACAGCATTATTTATTTGTTCCATCCTCTTTATGCTCATAAGGAATATAAATCTCTCAAGATAATCTGTGCTGGTGTTCTTTAAGCATTTCCCAAGCTCTCTGGTGGATTAAGTTTCACAAAAAGAGTATTGAGGAAACTCGACTATGTATAGACAGGATGTAACTACGTTAGAAATCAGTTCAAGCATAGTGGATGACACCAAACCAGTCTTAAGAATTAACAATGGGGGAATGGCTTATCTGCTTAGCCTCTTCAGTACCATTTTTATTAGTGGGGCTTTTTCCTGTAAGAATCATGGCATTGGCCTTCAGAAAACTTCACAACATTGTCTTCTCCGCTGAAGCTGGCATAAAAGCAAATGTTAAAAAAGTAGAATCCTCTGCATTGTATTACAATTTTTGTTTTAAACTATTGCTATTTAAAGCACTGTCAGGCTTTTTCAAACCCTTAAAAGGCTTTTTCAGTGCTGTCGTTACTGTGTAGTTTCTTCTTTTGGCCCACGTATTGTACAATGAAGCATAAAGATTAAGGCCTACGCCCTGGTATTATGTTCATTTCCATGCCTTCATGCCTGAATTAAATACCAGCCCTGATGTTTCATGGGGTGGGGTATACTCACTGATCTTTAAACTGATTCTCTGGTTATTGCATCACTTATGGGCAAATGTTCTGAAGGTAAAAACAAAAGAAAATTAAGGAGAGCCTCTCACCTATAATCCATATGTCTACCTAAAATAAATACAACTCAGTCTGAAGCATGTTCTGTCATCAACAGTGTAATACTGCACTTTCAAAATTGTATCAAACATGATGAAGAGAGGATTTGTGGCTAATCTGCCTTCAATTTCCAGCATGCTACTTGCAGAACATTTTTTGCTAGTCTGAAGATGAAGGCATAGAGGAGAGGAAAGCAAAGCATGTACCACAGTGGGGTTTGGAGTGAGTTAATGTTAACACAGTTAATGATGTAAATTAAGACTTTGTTTTAAATACGAAGACCTGGAAGAATAAATTTCACATTCTATTAGCTAAATTTTTTACTAGCTTTAATCTGCTAAAGCTTTTGGATTCCTATGAAGCTGTTCTTGCTAAGGATAATTTGATTATTTGACACTACACTGCAGGAAACAGTAAGCAGGAAATGTTCATGTTTTGTTCTGGAGGCTGTTCTCATGGTTGATCCAAAACAGCTAACGAATGCAGGAGAGATTTTTACCAATAATAACTGTTTTTAATTAAGCTTATGCATCTACCAGCACTCTAAAATTCAGGTGAAGGAATCCAAGTCACACAGTATTTTGTCACAGTAAAAGAATAATGTTAAATATTCCTTAGAAGCATCATCTTTTTTGAGCATGGGGCTGTTTTGCAGAAGTATGTTTTTGGATTGAGTTTTTTCCTGCTGCCTTGCTTTGAAAATGTGAACTTCGTAAAGAAAGAAGCAAGCAAACTAGATCTAGTAGATGTAACTTATAAAGATGAGTGAATAGGATAAGTCTCTTAATAGATTATTTACACAACAACCTGTTTTAACAGGGACCAAAACAACAAAGCTGTTCTGTGTTTGCTTTAAAAGTAATTGCATGTAAACATGCAGAATTACTGTGGTGAAGTTTAATGCTAAAGTAGCTTCAACTGATGTTTTGATGATTGAGTAGATAAGTTTCTATGTAGGGAATGCTAAATAAAAATTTGGGTCTCATCCAGCATCTTGATTTTTGTAATTTTATTTGAAGTGATCTATTTAGTTATATAAAAGGTATTTGAATGGAATTGATGACGTACAGTTTATATCCCTATATCCCTCGTTTGTATCCCTGGCATGAGTTAGGGGTTAAACTAATCTGATTACTTTATCCAAATTCTGGTTAACAGTAACAAAGATGTTGCCATTTAACTCAGGAATAAAGGCCTGGGATTTTTTTTCTTTTTTTTTTTCCCCTCAGATTACAGAAGGTAAATTAGAAATACTGTCTTTTAGATGGATGTTTTATACTGGAAAAAATGAGTCTATGAACTTTTATGGGCAGAAAACCCTGGTCAGAAATTGCTTGAGGACAAACAGTACAAGCTTGCTTCACTTGTTTGTTACTGATTTTTGCAGATTGACGTGACAGTTCTTATGGCGTCTATTAACCTATATGTCTGGATATTATAATGTCTTCAAATGCATTTAAAAACAAACCTATTTATCTGCTGCCATTGTGCAAATAGGTTGCAACTCTGCTTAGTATTTTCAGCACAGGTTCTCATGCTGTTAACCTAAGCAGAAACAACGGTGTTCTGGTCATACTTCATGGTGGCTTTATGCCAGTGTAATGCCACTGCTGTGGATTTACTGTATAGTACTATAAACAGAATTAGGCTTTTTGAAGTTTGACTCATCCTCAGAGATTTTAACTATCTGTTAATTTTATTTCCAAATGAACGAAAGAGTACAAATATGGAAGAGATGATTAGGAGCCTACTACATAAGCTGTGCTATAAATATATTGTAGACCAGAATGAATGAGTATGTTGACATACAACACAAATATCTTTCAAAGCAGGAATAGTCTAATAGTACACTAATTTCAGTGGGCGTTCTATGCATTATACTCACATATGTGCTCAGCCTTACATATGTGCAGTAATTAGAAAAAGCTGCAAACTGAAACTAGTAAAATTTAGAAAAGTGTAGACTAGATGGATATCCATTTGCCTGTGTAAAGGCTGGCTTTTGAGACATCTGACTCTTTTTGTAAGAGTCTGTGTATCAGCTGTGCAGCTGGCTTCTTGGAAGCATCCTTTTACAGAGCGAATGAAATGGTGCTGCTTAGGTCATTGCTACCTCTAGCCCTTAACTTGCCAGCTCACAGCTGTCTGCTCTCATGGTGATTCAATAGCAAAAAATTTTGACCAGGTAAAAGTCAATATTTTTTAATGGTCATGAATTCTGCTAATACTTAAGGTCAGGGAGTATTTTCTACTAGTTCAGGGAGAATTTTACAATTCGTTTTTCAACAAGAATAGTTATTCTTGCACTTATTCCAGATATACATTAACAGTGGAAAGCAAAATTTTGCCCACTTGGGAAATATAACTGCCTTTGTATTAGCTGTTTCACATGAAGCAAAATATTAACCTTTGGGATAGCTCTAAGATGGTTGTAAATGTTATCTGATAAACAGATACTGCAATGCATTGATCTTCCTTTGCATTTGTGTAGGTTCTGATTATTGCTATTGCAAATAACATGTCAACTCTTAAAGAAATTCTTGTTCTTCCAGTATTTGCAATCTATTTACAAAGGCTTTTTCTTTCTTTTTTCTCTTCTCCATGTACAGGTAGTGGCCCAATTGTGGATCCAGACGTTTATGGTACATATTTGATTTCCTTTTTCTTTTCTTTTAATGATAGAAATGAAGGAACTGAAACCATTAAAAGATTGAATGTCAGGCTCAGTTAAATTGAAATGGCACTTATTATAACACGGTTCTAAAAGGTACTTTTTATTTTTGGTTCTTCTCCTGCCTTATATTATTTAAGATAAATGAAAGCAATATGACGTTTTACTTACTCTGCTGCTTTTGATTCAACGTTAGGAGAAGCATAAATCCACTGAAATGAATGGTTGCAGTTGATCCTGTAGGATGACAGTTGTCTGATGTAGCTCACAGGCATGAGATTTTTGTGACCATTTTGGAGGCATTTCTTGGAGGAAAGAGAGTTTGTGATTTCTTCTTATATAACTTAGTTTATTTTTTCAGCAATGATTCAATACTTGTTTGCCGCCAAAAATGTACCCCTAAATCCCACTTAAAAATGAGGTTGGCACAAGTAAGTTTTCCTGTAGGCAATTTATTTTGCTCTGTCCGCCAATTTGTACCTTCCCTTAATCTCTCTTGCATAAGCAGACCATCAACTCGGTGATATCTGAGTGTGTGCCAGAGCATTTGATGACGCAGTGTTCACATTAGTTTTTTAGTTAAGCATAATGTTTTGGTCTGTACCTAGTGAGAGCCCATGTGCACTAGAAGAGAAGCTGCAGAATGAAAAGCAACTGGCTAGTTTTTGATAGTACTTCTGGTATACTTCTGGTATACTTCTGGTGAGCAGGAAAGTCCAGCCTAACCAACATATCCAAATACTCTTTAGCTTCCATCAGGAGCTGGATCCTTTTAGGAGTACGTTTTATTTGGATGAAATGGCCCATGAGTCAAGTTTCCTTAAGCTGATTTAAATGTTATTGCTTTGATTCCATTCCATGTCATTAAACTTTAGCAAATGTGCAAGTGAAGCATCAATTTGGCTTTTAGTGCTTAGAAATACTAAAGGATAGCTTCCCCTCCCTCTCTTTCCAAATTCTTTTTTTTTGGGGGTGGGTGGGAAGGTGGTGATGGTTTGCACAATTTCTTACATGTGTTGTATTATATAAGATGTATGCACGAAGATCTTGATTGAGCTGTTTATCAAGTATATACCTGATATATGTATGATACCTGTATATGGCTTTTAACTATGTGAGTGCTGTGTTTTGGTTGACTTGGGTAGGTTTCTGCTGAGATGTGCGCTTCCAGTTGCACTAGGAGATCACGGACTACAAGACCTAGTCCTAATGAAAGCAGCCTTCCTTTTTATTCCTGTCTTTTCTTTCTGCTGTTTGAAACTCCTGTCTTTGATCTTTGTTTCACTGACTCAGTGCTTTCTTTGAGAAACACTTTGTAGTCCAGAGTATTTCCCTAATTATTCCAAATCCACGAGCCCAGTTAGTGAGGTGAATAAATGAGGCCAGATAGAAAGTCTAGGAACTGCTACTTCCTCAGAGAACTACTGCCTGCATGGCTGACAGTGGGGTGGACCCCTGAGATGAGCTTCCCTCAGAGACCGAGCGGTTTTCTTGACTTTTTTTTTTCAGACTGCTCTCTCTCTGTGCTAACCTCTTTATCTGCAACATGGGTTACGTTGTAAGAAAGTTTTAAAGCGCTTTTCCCTTCAGTCCCTTTTCCCTTCAAAGTGCATCTTTCCAAGCTCTGTGCTAGTCATATTGTGGATGCGTGAAGGGTGGAGGCAGTGGCAGAGGAGTTGACCCTGCTGGGACTGGACTAGCTGTGTGTCTGTCAGCCCGTTGGCCATGGCAGCTGCAAAGTGTCGGGGCATTGTGGGGCCAGGGCCTCCCCATGGGGATCCCTTAGGGCAGGGCCTGGCAGCCAGGCCCGTCCCAGCACCCCAGCCAGGAGCAGGGGGACACCAGGGCAGCCCCAGCCCTGGACATTGGACCCAGCCCTGGGCCACTAGCCCATGGGTGGACCCAGCTTAGCAGTGCCCATGGCCAAGCAGGGCTGGGCTGTGAGGAGGCGGAGAGGGAGGTGGTGGAGGGCAGGGGATCCCAGCCTCAAGTACCCCTCTGCACAGAGCCAAGTCCTCCATGGCTGAGTTCGGTCTGTACCTTGGGAACTGACCGCCTTTCTGCGTCCTGTGCTCCACGGAAGGTGGTTCCCAAACGCTTTCCGTTGGGCATTTTGAGCGTGCAGTGGGAGACAGAAGAACTGGTGAGGTCACAGCAGGCTGCGTGACATGGTGGTTGCCAGGGCACACAGCACAGAGAAGCTACTAGTGCCTCTGACTTGCCTGGTGGAAAAGACGGGGAGGAGAGGCCATCCCAGCCCCATCTGGAAAGTCACCAAGAGAAACGAAGCGACTCAGCCAGGGCTGAGCAGGAGATCGAATGCAGCACCAACTTCTTTGGCTCTGCGTTGACATCTCTGCACCAGGCTCCTGCTTCTGACATAGCTGTGAACATGAGGGAGACAATGTGCTCCCTATCACCCAGCCCCAGAGACCTTCCTGGAGCTGGTGTGACTGTGCTCTTGTCTGCGTCCCAGGTTTGTAAAATGGCTGCAAAACACCTCCCAGCCTCAGATGCGATCTACTGCAGTTGGCATGGTCACAGGTGGCTGCCTGAGGTAGGCGGCATTGGAGAACCTGGCCCTGAAGCGATGGGAGTCCCACATAGCATGTATGAGTCAAGAGGCGTGACCCTGTCTGTACCGGAGTGCTCAGTGTCCATGTCAGGATTTCACAGTGAAGTGAACAGGGATTTGTTTAACTCAGAATCGCCCAGTTTTGGCTGGGTAGCTGTTGTGCGTGTTTTCCTTGCCTGGCTCACCCATTCCAAGAGGCTTTGAAGATCTGGCACTGGTTCACATGCGAGCACTTCGCAGTTATACAGCTGGGAATGGCAATGTATAACTTCGCAGTTATACAGTGTACTGATGGGGCCTACTTTAGCTCTTGCCCATTTTAATATAAAAGTGCACTCAGAGGATTCACAGACCAGAAACCTGAAACACTCTGCATAGTTCGATTAGTCCCTCAGGGTGTGATTTCCAGTAGCTTAGTACAGACATGGGTATAAACAGAACTGCAAATAGTGAGCTTTTGCTCACTGGTATTTACAGGTAAAATTAGGAGTAAAAATATTTCCCTCATGAAAGTTTGGATTACAGAGCCAGAGCAGCAAAGGCTTTAAATATCTGTTTTATACATTGGTCTTATAAAGCTGCCTTAAATGTAAGTTTGGTCAAAACTATCTTTGTGAAGATTTTCCCAATCTTGTAGGCTGATACGCTTGTTATGAAGCACGCGCTGCCTGCAAATGAATGAAGCAGAAGCTTCCTCCTTTGCTGTGGCAAAACGTGTAGTCACAGTGTTGGCTGTGGCAAAGTGTGTAGTCACAGTGTTGGCTGTGGCAAAGCGTGTAGTCACAGCAAGTCTGCACAGCACCTTGTCCAAATTCCCAGGACGCTTGTACAGGTGAGCCATTCAGGCAGGGTTTGTGCTGCCTGGAGTAAGGAGTGCTGTTCATTTGCCCGTGGCTACTCTTCTGACCTTGCTGCGTAGGAAGCTGTAGGCATAGAGATGCAGTGCTGGGTTGGAGAATTCAAACTGTAAAAGACCAGGAAATTAAATTTTGTTTCTCATAAAAACTTTGTGTACTTAATATGTATTTTGGCTTGGAAGAGTTCCTCACATGTATGGTGTAGAGCCAAAAGACTATGGGAGCTGATTAGACAACCTGACTGTACTGACTGTAACACTGGTGCCAGAAGTAGCTGCATAGCTTCAAATACCGAAAAATCTGCAGCCTGCCAAGTGCTTTGTAGGAAGCAAATGTGTTCGTGCATGCATGAAGATCAAAAGCTCAATGCAGCTTGTTGATAGCATTGCCAACTGAGCTCTCCAAAATGGCCTTGGGAGCTAAAGAAGATCGACTCTACCAAGATGCAGGCCCTCCCTGCCCTTTCTCAGCAGCAGTTCTGCAGTGTGAAGAGTTCCTGCCTCTGCAGCCAGTGAGAGCTATGCCTCTGCGCTCTGCCTTTTCGGATTCACAGTTATAATTTAATTGGTAGGCTTACGGCACTGATTTTAATCAAAACGTGTAAGGAAATACGCAGTTAATTGCAAGTTTAAATTACAATGCTGGAGGTGCATTTCGTAATAGATGCAGTTATTGCCCTTGTTTGTTTCTTTCATCTCTACACATTACAGTCATAAGATTGAAATGCTACATATATTTTCAGAAGTAATCATAAAATATATGCATTTTAAAATTTTATTATAATGCCCATTTCTCTAAGTTCATGTGTACATTATTTAATTTTTTTTATCTGGTTTGAAAAATTTTGACAGGAGTCAAATGGGCTGTAAATATCTGTGTATCGTTTTTAAATAATTCTAAATAATTAAGCCATGTTCACTTGTTTGATGGAATAGTTCTGGATTCACCCTTGCAGATCTGTCAGTGAGATTATTTTGATAAATCAAAATTCTTCAAAACATCTCAAGCACTTAATTTTTTCACAGGTTTATCTGTATGACAGTTTATAATGCCAGACTGTAACCTCTGTGCATGAACAGTATTTTTCATTTTTTTTAAATGAAGAAAATGGCTATTTCACATTTGAAAGTAAAAAACTGGCTAAAACCCTATCTGACAAGTTCTTCTCAGCTAAACAAAGGTCCCCAAGTTAATTTGTAAGACTGTCCTATATTTGGCTGAAAACAAGGTTGGAGAAGTTCAGTGTAGAGAGCAGTCTTTCATTTTTAATGGAAAGTCAGAAGTGCATAAAAATAGCTTTATGGATGGAGTTCTTACTTAACTCTAGTTTTTCCAGTGAAGATACACATTGTGGTACGGATCGCTTCTCTTTTCAAGTTTGTTAGTCACAACACATTTTTTGATTATCTGCCACAGGGATACCCCCAAAATGTTCCAGCTACTTTAGCAATTATGTATTGTTTCCAAAGAGCTCGGAGTCCTGAGAGTTGTTAGTGGCCTTTCCATCTTATAGAGCAGAAATAACAAAGACAACCCTTTCATCTCTAAGACTACAAAATTATAAAAGTAACCTTTTTTTTCTTTCCTAAGAGTATGAAACCACGCCTAATGATCTCGGAGACACCACAAATAACAGTAATCAAATCACTTCTACGGATGTTTCCAACAAAGAGAATGAAGATAGCATCACTGTAAGTATATGCATTGTTTCCTGATCTGTAATCTTGGTGGACTTCCTGGCTGTACAACTCACAAAACTGCGCAGGTTGTAATAGGACCCTGAGCTACCAGAACACCGGAGCTATTAGTATGTTCTGGTCAAAACTCAGAATAAAAAAAAAGGAAAAAAAAGAAAATCAGTGCTCCCCACTCTTACCCTCCCCCCATTTTTCTGAAAGAGTGAATCACTTTTTAGTCCAAGTAAAATTGCTATTTACTTTGTTCCATGCTTTTCTGAACAATTAACTGTGATTTTTTAGCCTAAGACATTGCTTCTAATTTTAGCCAAGGAGAGCAACTCTTTATTTACAAAACAAAGACTTCCAAAGTAATTTGAAGATTGTTGTTTGAATTCTGGTCCTGGAGTCAGCTCCTCCTTAAAGAGGAGATGTGCTGCAATGAACTTTCAAGTTCTAATTGTATGTTTTTAAAACATGATTTCACGTAGATTTTTGATCAAATAATTTGCAGTAGATTTTAGCAAAAGTAGCTGAATTGGTATGCCTCCTCCTTTGCTGCCTTGCCTCTCATGCTGTCCTGAACTGAATTGCTGGAAACTGGGAGCAGATAGCCAGTCTGGTTGATACAGCAACCTCCCTGCATCAGTGACTCCACAAAGTATCAGTCAGTGGAGAGCATGTGCGTTCATGAGTTGGGGCACTGTGCTAAAATATTGGGAGGATCCCAGAGAATCTCATCTCATCAAATAACAGAATCATTGAACAGCTGAGAGGGGACCTCTGGAAATCCTCTGGTCCAATCCCTCCTGCTTAAAGCGGGACCAGCGTGGTTGCTCAGGATTCTGTCCACTCTAGTTTTGATATCCTGAGGGATGGAGACTCTACAGCCACTCTGGGCAATCTGTACCAGTGTTCAGCCACTCTCACTGTAAAAACCTTTTTCCTATATGCTTCTTTTATGTGTTTTCTTATAACTCTGCTGGAAGGAAAAGGGGTGGTGTGTATGCCCTCCCACCTGCCTTGAATGTATAGGATGTTGAAAAGTTGTTCTCAGAGGTGTCTGAATCTCTGTTCTCTGCAGGACAGAAGAAACCTCAACAAGTGGCTGTTTTCTGTACTCTTTGATCTGAGTGCAAATGTTTCCCAGTTGAAATGAGTCTCTTTACCTAACTGGGTTAATTTGAATGCGTGCTTTGAAGGTCATGAGAACAACACAAGCAGATCTGTTTGTGTCCTCTTTTTTTAGGTGTATGTTGTGGTGGGAATTGCAGCACTGGTGTGCACTGGCTTAGTAATAATGCTCATCATTCTGAAGTTTGGAAGACACTCTAAGTTTGGGATGAAAGGTAAGCAGGGTTGTTTTTTATACCTTCCGAAATTGTGAGTTGTATGAGCTGATTCTATAGGTTTCTGCACTAAGAGCAGTCAAAATAACTAGATTCTAAGTGGCATCACATGTAGTATTTTGTTTATTCATCAGGTAAGTAAGTGCAGAGGCAGATGTAGAATTTTGGATCAAACTCTTCTACTTCTCTTTTTTTTTCTTATGACAAGTCCTATTTCTCTCTCTTCTGCTGTAAAGCCCCCTGGGACACTTCATGGAGTAAAATAGTACTTGACTCAGGGTAGGTAGGAAGAAGATAAGAAATGAAATTTATTCTGATATGAGTTTGATTACCACAATTTGATGAGACTCCATGCTGTATGTAAGTGGTACTTCAGACCATACTACAAATGTCACATTGAAGTGATAGATTCATCAGGAAACAATGGCAAAAATGGACAGTGTATTTGCAGTAGATCCTGTGTATGACAGGGTGGTGCTTTCTGACATGCATTTTCTTCAGCTTCTGTTTGTATCTTGGGAAGTAGCAACCAGAGAGAGTGGCAAGTGCTCATGTTCCTGTGGAAGGGGGAAATCTCAGCCCTCCTATTTATTAATTTATTTATTTTACAGCTAGATGAAGGTATGTGTAACATGGAGGTACCAGCAACAACACCATTCCTGTATTCTTTTACTTCTATCATCAGTTTGTGTCTGGTGATGTGGGTGAAATTGTATTTAAAAAAAATAAAATACTTGCTGTCTTGTTGGGATGACTAGAAGGTGCTTTGCTGTGTGTTAAAGAAGATAAGCTTTTGTTCTTAAGTTGTGTAGTTAAAGGGTCTGTGGAGATGGTGGTAAGTAATCTTTTGATAGGCTGCTGTTAACTGCATGTCCTTTCCCTCGCCTGTGCTTATGACATAGTACCACATAGATATATATTTTGGTAACCCTTACTTGCTCTTGACAAGTGCTCTTTTCAGAGGTATCTACCGTGTATTTTTTTTTCTAGATTATATTTAGAGGAGAGTTTCTGGAACAAATGAGATTTGAGTGGAGCAGGAATGTAGTTGGTGCAGATTAGCTTGATGTGATGTTAACCTTTTCTCTCCATCTGCTCTGACATGGTTTCTGTTCTTTGGGTTAGCATTAAAAGAGGACAGTCATAATGAAATATCCTGAATAGCAGGATGGAGCCAGCAGGATAGAGTTTTGGCCAAAGACAAGAAGAAACCTTTTGTGACTGAACAACAGTTCAATGTAAATTTTATTTGTGTCTGAAGCTTTCTGAGTTGCATTTAGAGAGCTGGACCAGGCAGAAGGTAAATGAGAGCAACAATGAGAGATATTTGACATTAGCTCTTGAAAGCTGAATGCTTGTTAGAATTTTCAAAATTTGCATTAAATATTCCAACAATATTATTGGAGGAAGTAGGAAGTAAACTCTACCCTGAGGCAGAATGCACAAAGTTGTGTTTTATGTGGTAACATGTTAAGCCTTACATGGTGGTTGTGTTTTAGTACCTTCAGTTACAACTTTTGTCATAAAAATAGTTTGACTTCGGTGGATTTTTATTGCAGAGTTGTCCATGTAGTTCATAGTAAGGATAAACTTTTGGGGAGACGACTATATGAAATTATGAAAAGGCAACAACCTCATATATAGTGTTTATTTTATTCTTTAAATTTGACCAGTTGGGAAGATCAGAAAAATAGGTTCACAGTTCAGGTACACTCCTTCAAAAACTAATCACAGGCATAGTATATGTGGTAATGGTGAAATGTCACTGTGAGCTACAAATAACTGTTGAATGTTTCATTAGAAAGAAGTGACCTTGTTGTTCCTGAAGTGAACCTCAAAATTCTCCAAAGTTTGTGTTCACACCTGAGCTTCACAGTTTGCTTCTATCCATAGTCCAAAGGCCCAGAAACACTCTCTCCATTTATCATCATCAGTATTACTGAATTTATATTAAAGCAATATTTAAAGACATGAGATTAGAACACGATATCGATATGTAATACCCAGGCTAATAATAAAATATTACCTTCCCTGAAAAGCCTGCAGCATAACTATATATTGAGAATTTATAAATGAAGATAAAGGGCCTGGAGTATTTAAACATGAGGAAAATAAGGCAGAGGTGAAGAGAAATTTTTTGCAGTCAGTGTTAATCAGCTCAATACATTTGAAAAACGTAGCTTGGAAATTCTGAGTAAAAGGATCAAACCAGGTACCTGTGAACTCCTTGAGTGATTTGCCATTGAATTCAGTGTCAGCAAAGTTAGTCACAACTTAGCATACAGACATCATGTTATAATTGGTGGTTTAATAAACAGTCTTAGTGGGGAAGTGGGAAGGAATAAAATGCCTAGATTGCCACTGAAAATATTTATAAAACAAGATAAAAAATACTTTACAAATCTTTGCCAATATATTAATTATTTTTTGAATTCTTAAGAAGGAACTTCTGAGTTACATCAAACACAAGAGTCTGTGCTTCATTTTTCAGTTTTCTTGTGAGAACACAACACAGTCACCTCAGACACCCTGTCATTAAACATCTCCCCACCTTTCTTCAGCAAGCAATTTGGAAAAAACCAAAATAGTCACTCAGTAACTGGAGCAGTCAAGCTGACACTCAGTGGTATTTTTCATGTAACCATGTACTAAAAGGGAAAAAAATGTTCCACTGAAAATCAGAAAAAGAAATGTTTGAATAGGCAATCAGCACTCTGTGTTCCGTAGGAAATGTCTTTATGTAAAGGATGAAATTTTCACCCCATTTGGGTTCACAGCAGGCATCTGCAGCTTCTTGAAGACATTGTTTTATGCCTCATTTTTAAATGCCATCGCATCTTTGCATGGGCATCATCTTCCCACTTTTTAGACAGAGTCCTTGCTGAGTCCTTCTGTGCTTAAAGAGGTTAAGCACGGTTAGAGTGTGTCAGTGGCAGTGATAGTGTCCCCAGAAAAAGATGTGGAGCTGGCAGTTGTGTCGGAGATAACGCTGCATCGGAGCTGCCTGTACCTGGAAGCGCTGCACATGCTGAAGAGCCGCATAGATTGCACGTAGCTCAAATTCCCCTGTTGTCTTCTTTCCATTACTGTACTGAGCAGAAAAGAGTCCTTTTTATGTGACAGGGAACACCAGGTCCTCCGGTAGCTTCCGGTACTTTGGCAGTACTGATCAATCTCTATCAGGATCTGTTGAAAAGCTGCATAAAATAACTCTGTCTTTTGGCTTCTGTCTATGTTTTGTGTATTTCAACTGAGGGGACAACTTGGGATAAGTTCATTTCACTCAGTTACCTTTCCAAACTGTAGTAATGGAGTAAAGGAGGACAAGCAAAGCACTCATTCACTGCCAGTAACAAAACAAAAACATTTTGTTTGTGATGGTCTGGATTTGGGTTGAAGTTGGGTTGACCCGTAAGAGGCAATTGCTTTAATTCTTGCCTTGCTTCTTTTCACTCTGTCTTTTAGAGCTGAGGACATAGCAGATTCTGATTATTAATTTCAGGAACAGTATTAAAGCAGAACTGGTGTGTGAATTGTGCTAGAAGTGACTTAAAGTAGAGTTAGCACAAAAAAGCCAATATAGTTCTTTCTAATCTGTGGATAAACTCATGTTGTGCTAGACTTCAGGACTTCCATTTCAAAATTTATCAGAGCAGCTGGTGAAATATAATTCTATTTCTTTGCTTGTGTACATTTAAATCACCTTCTTATACACTGTTTGTTGACAAGACTTTTGAGTGAAAAGCTGCGTTTGATTGCTTGAATCTGGAGGTGAGGTTTTCAGACCCTTACAAGATGCTGCAACATAAATGGTCAAAGCTTCAGTTAATTTCTTAAATGTATTCATTAAGATTTGTGGGTTGCTCTCACAAAACACCTTGACTTGCTTGCTGGAGGATGTGAGAGTGCTTATGGTGGGAATTCACTGAAGGCTGCCAAGACAGCTCTTATAATTTTTTGTCTATTTCTGACTCCATCTCACCAGCTTATGAAATGGAAAAATAACAAGAGAATCGGAGTAGAGAGGGCAGGGGAAGGCTTGTGAACTCCGAGTGGATTTGTGGAAGTATAATTCTAGTCGTGTTTTATTGTACTTCCTGTGTTGAAAAAGAAATGTAAATAAACAAATAGTTGCAACATAACCAACCTGATACACAGTTTGCAGATGTTAATATAGCAGCATGCCACTAAGTGTGAGTGGAAATGTGGAGGAAACTGATGGAAGATAAATCAATGGATAAAGTTTGAAATGGCATAATTCAGTTAAAAGGATGAAAACATTTTTGCAGATTTGAGCTGTGGTAAATTTTAGCACAGAGTATCCATGTGCTATTATCGTATCATAAGACTATTATTGTATCTGCTTTACTGTAGAGATAAATGGAGTTTCTGTAGGTTTTACCAAAACCAGAAAGGAGAGGGAACCCATTCCTCCCCAAAGCAGTCCCTTCTGTCTTTTAAGAAGCTAACAAATAAGATGTGACAGAAGTAGAGGGAAACATATGTGTACTTAATCACTTTGGGGTAAGAGGGTCTTTTTTTGAATGTCTGTATGAAGTTTCTGTCAGTGCTGTGAGCTGCGTGCAGTAGTGCAAAGGTAAGGGAATGAATTGAATCTGAAATTCCTATAATACTTAGGCAGTGCCAGCTATTTTCTTGTGTCTATGGGCTTGGGTGTCACACATTGAAAGGTGCTTCTGCTTCCTCAAGTTCTGACCTACCTACCATGTCTAAACATAAGTCATGACTATGAATGCTTTGCGCCTTTCACTGTTTCAAGTCTTTCCAGATCAGGGTACAGAAGTTTGTCTTTCTCTGATCAGGTGATGAGATCATGTACATTGATTTAAGAAAGAAAACAGTGTTTCTTTTCGGACAAACACCCCAAAATACTACCTTTCCTTCAAGCCCCTGCTAGCTGCTTGTCATCATTTTTTAGTGTAAATTTAAAATATAGACTATCAGTCAGGATGCAGTGCTCTCTCACCAAGCTGATTAAA